CGACTCGACTCGACTCGACTCGACTTGATTCGACTTGATTCGACTTGACTCGGCACAACTCGATTCGACTCGACTCGATACAATACCACGCGACGCGACGCGACGCGGCGACAGCGACAACGGCGAGGACGGCGGCGCGGTGTTTCTCGTCGCGACGCGTGATTCAGACCACGGAGAAGTACAATAGCTCGGCCGTTCGCGACGACGGCAGTGTTGGTACACGGTGACGAGAGATTTACTTCCGGTTCTGTGGTTTTTCGTACACGCGCGCAGCGATTCGGAGCCGTTCATCGTTCGAGAGGGCCGTATCAGAGACTTTTTCTCTCTTTCTGGCACCGCTGCGATAACATTCTTCCCTTTGTTTTTGTTTCCACTTTCACGGACCATTTAGAGTTCTATTCTGTTCGTTCGCCGTTTAGTTAATACCGGGAGGAGGGACCTCCCCGTTGTAAACTGTTCTTTGTAGCACGCCGCGGAATAAAAGCTCCGATCCCGTTCAAGTGCGACTGCGGATATGATCCATCGTGGATGCTCCCTGTCACCGTTCTCTTCGATTGTCCCCTTCATCCCCGGCCAATCGTCGATTCCGAGACACCCAGGGGTCCCGTCCCGTGCAACGTTTGCGTGTTGTTACGTAACTGTCGCAGCATCGTGGCTTGTAGGATGAACCCCGTACTCCTACATACTTGTTCCGGTCGTTCGCTTTCCCTCTGACATTTCGCGCTGTTTCCTTCCTCCCCGTTTTAATTTGCTTCCTTGGCCACGTGTCAGAATGGCGCTGCTACGTCCGGCCGTCTCGAAAGATCGTTAGAACGGTGGAACCGTTCGACGACGCGGCGACGGAACGGAGCGGCGCCCCGAACTCGCGTTCCACGAACGAGAACAGAAAGAGAAAGAGAGAAAGAGAGAGAAAGAAAGGGAAATCATTTGGTTTCTTTTGCACCAGCGATTTCCTCGCCGCAGCGACGCGGCCGACCCTTTGACTCCGGTATCCTCCCACCATTCCCACGTGCCAACGAACTTTCGACGAAAAGTAATCGCCGACCTCCAACTAGTGCCGGAAGTCGTAGGAAGAGATGTCAATTGTACGACGTTATCTCGCGGCGAACCTTTCGCCGAGCGAACGGATAAACGTGGTGACAGGTGCACCGTATGCCGTCGAATATTTTCGAACGATTGGCGGCGGCCGGTCGATAGAAAGTTTCGAAGATTCCCGTGGAACGGAGGTGTACGTCGGCGGCGGAGGAACTAAGGATACCGAGATGAACACGTTACGTCCATCGCTGGAGAACTTTCGAGTGAGTATAACTTCGACCACTTTGTTTTCTCTGTGTCTAATCACGTTCAGAAACTCGCCGATCTCTTTAATCCTGCGATTCCGTTGAAATTCGTTCCACGAATCCGCATTCTGGTATCGTCACGCGCGATCGGATGAGGAAATAATAACTTTCCTAAGCTTCCTCTTCGAGTATTGCTGATAAATGGAAACCTGCATCTCGCGGATGATTTGCTAGGGTCTGTCCGAGAAGGCTTTCCACCAGTTTGTCGCTCGAGACGTCTCGCTTTCCTGCGCCGCGATCATCGGAGAAGTTTTCGCGGAGCGTATGGCAAAGCTTCCCGTTAAATAGGTTAATGAATAATCGTTCCGTGCGACGACAAAGCCTCCCCCTCCCGCTTAGGGACATTTGGCAGTGGCACATAGGCGCGTTCCCGCTGTAGGTGTACGCCAACAAAAGCGTGTGGGTTTATATATAGAAATAGCAGCGACGGAACAGCACCGGAAGCGAAGGAGTTCCGCCCAAGCCTGAAGGGTCACCGCACTTTGAAAACCGAGATCCAAGACTGCGCGTATTACGTTCACTTGCCGGAATTCTATCTATGTCTTTCGCTTCCAGTCTGCGGTGTCTAGTTTATTATTGCCTTGGAATATTTATCAAATCGTTACGGCAACGATGCAGCGTCTTTTATTCTAGAGAATCGACTCGTTAAAAGAACCGATAGACAACGGATTTTTCATTTGATTTTTAAACGATGCCATTCAGAAGCCATCCGGGGCACAATAGATTCATCTGGCGAATCGAGCGTGTCGGTAAGAACGTGAAACGTTGAAAGAGGACGCCGAAGTTCGCGAGTATCCTCGAGCGGAAGCGACTCAGCCGTTCCGGGGGCAAGTTTTAAGGTCTTCACGGCGCGCGAAGCGTTTCCCTCGTTAACGCGGCCGAACGTTTCCTCCGCTAAACGCGTGACTTTATGAATGAAACCACTACCCGTCGCAGCAGTTTGTACACGATGCCAGTAGTACTCGCGTTTACTCGCTCGTTCCACGTAGGAAGGAAGTCGCGGGCGAGTTAGTATTGTCCCTTGCAGCGTTGGTGAGCGGCGACCACGACTGGTCAATTACCCAGTCAATATTTTGCCGGCAGGATGCCGCATTCAAGGAAGTAACTACGTCTGCAGGCCATCTACAGGGTGCTTTTAATCGCGTCGATGTCTAATGTATTATTCAACGTTTAATTAGATACCTTCGAATTCCCGTAACGAACGCGGCGAGGAGAGGCGTCGCGAAAAATCGTTGCTGAGTCCGTACCGGTTGCGATACGCGTTCCAGTTCTTTTTTTTCGTGTTTTCCCCTCGTCGAACGAGAGGAATATTCAATTGTAAAGTGAGAAAGAGAGAGAGAGGGAGAAAGAGGTGAGGATTTAGGGTTCGTCGAAAGAGAGACGGGTCGGGACGGGGCGAGACGAGACGAGACGAGACGAGACGCGTTCCAAGTAGCCTGAAACAGTGTCGCGATGGGCCACGTCCGATCGAATTCTAGGCCGACGACTGGCGAATCTATTTCTAAACTCGTTTCTATTTTCTATTTGCATGCGCCACCGTCGTCACGACAATTTTATACGTCTGCGATATTTCGAGGAGTCGGCGTTACCCTGCCGCGTTCACCTCTGCCGACCGATAGGCGATCTACAAAACAGA